AAGAACCGCCGAGCTGCTCAGGGTGGGGGCGGGGCGGGGAGGAATCTGGGTGAGTGAGGGGGCTGCTGCCGCCGGGGGTTCATTTCTTCGGGACGGCAGCGGCCGGCCATTGGCTGCGCCCGCTGAAGGATTCTGGGAAGTCCACGAGAGTGGCGCCCCAAGAGGGTGGCCGCCTTGGGCTGACGGCGTGAGAGCCGCACCAGGAAGGACGGAGGAAGGACCCTGGGCTGGGTGGGCGGGCAGGGCAAGCGCCCCAAAGGCCGAGCGGTGTGGGGCGTGCAGGCAGAAGTAGGCTTGGGCCCGTGCTGGCCATCTAGCTAGCCCAGTCGGCCTTCCTCTTCGCCCAACCTGGGAGCCGCCAGAGAGGTTGGGCGAAGGCATTCATCCGGCAGGCTGCATGGGAGCTGAAGTCCAGCGCAACTGGAGGCCGCCGGGCTGGGCTTCCTTGATGTAGGGCAGTGGTCCCCAACCTTGGGCCTCCAGATGTTATTGGACTTCAACTCCCAAAAATCCTGGCCAGCAGAAGTAGGGTTAACCGGGAGCGACGCGGTTTCCACCCGGCAGCTGCCCGGGGCTCCTTAGGCATGGGGCAAGAAAGAGCTCGGGCCGCCCCACACCCGCCATTGCCCTTCAGAGTCCTTGATTTCACGGTGGAAGGGCTCTGACCCTCGAGGCGGTTCTCCTGATGTTCAGCCAAAGGCTGCAGTTTAAGCCTCCTGTATTTAGTTCTGCTCTTTGGTGAACAAATATTCCTGAGCCCCCTTCGAAAGCGTATTGCTTCTCTGAGCGATGAGACGGAGGAACAGATCATGCAGACACAAAATGAAATCTGACCAAGCCAAAAAAAAAAGGACATTTAATATTATTACCATTTTATTCCCAACTTTCCTGGCAAAAGCACAAGGGGGCAAAACCAGTTCTCTTTGCTTCCTGTTTTAGTTTTCATAAAGACTCTTTGAAGTAAGCTAGGTTGAGAGGTGGTGGCTGGACCAAAGTTGAAGGTCTTGCTTTCTGGCTACTTTGTACGTGGCCCTCCTCATCCCTGATCAAGCCTTCATGCTGCCACGCCTGTGGGCCTAAAGTGTTAGAAGATCATGGTGATGATTTTGCACAGCCCTCCGATGGCTTCCTCTTATGGGGAAAAAATTATGAATTGCAAGCTTCCAGGAGTGGTGCTCCACTTTTGAAATAAAACTGCATTTTAACACCCACAGATTAAAAAAAAAATTGAAAGTGTACTGCTAGCTGCTACTTTTGTTGTTGTTTGCATTTTGGGGGCAATCTGTGTGACCTCTAGAGGGTGCCACTACCTGAAAACTGGCCCCAACCCCACCACAGTTACCCACTCTGGATAGCTCAGTGGTTTAGGTATCTGGCTGCAGAGCCAAAGGTTGGGAGTTCAGTTCCCCATTATGCCTCTTAGGGCAAGAGCCAGCCTTTGTGGCCTTGGGCAAACTGCACAGTCTTCAGGATGCACCCAGAAGGAGGGGATGGTAAACCACTTCTGAGTATCTTCTTCCTAGGAAACCCTGAAAAGGGGCCCCATAAGTCAGAATTGACTTGGCGGCACATGGTTATTATTGGAGTGTGGGACAGACCACTTTAATACGCAGGATCATTCCAGCACCTTCACACATTTTGAATCTCTGTATCAAGTCCTTCAGTTGTTTGTTTGTTTTGGCTTGCTGTCTTTACTTGGCAATAACATAGATTTCATAGATACCCAATTCTGAAAGGCTAAGCACTCGTTCTTCATCTCTCTCCCTCACCCACCCTTTTTATTTTAAATCTCTCCATAGAAAATTTGTATTTTTCAACGTACCTCAGATTCAATATAAAAACATTTGGGTCCAGATTGTGATGTTTAAGAACATGACCCCATCACCCTTCATAAAATTCTATTTAGGTAAGTGATCCATTGCCTTTGCTAACTACCCTTTGTTTATGCCTAGGATGGGGAACATATAGTTCTTCTTTGTGGCCTCTATGAATCATGCTCTGGGTGACCCACGCCTGCGCGGAGCCTCATTGGAAGATTCTAGAGCTTCTGTGGTAGCAAAAAAAAAAATTAGAGTAAACCCCCATATAAGTACCTTGGTGCCAAGACTCTCCCTTCAGTTTCTTTCAACCGCCATGTTGAAAGCCTCGTATTCTTGCTTCTGTGAGTTGAAAGTGAGAGTTTTGCTCTTGATTCCTTTTCTTTTAAAATAGTTTTATTTTATTAATAGATCTTATATATCAAACATTATTGTTTGTTTCCTTTGTTTTTGCTCGGCCTTTGGCTGTAGCACACACACACACACACGTCCTACTTATTTTTCTCAAACCAGTTTTCTCCTATTCATGCCCCCTTTGGGCCCATTTAAACACTGCATGGTCTGTGATAACAAAATACCACTTTCCAACAGCCACGGAAAGTGTCTTTTTTTGCTTGGGTGAGGCACACCAAACAGCCTCTTGCCCCCACTGTAAAAACTTTAAATGCAGAGTCCTCCACTCTCGCCTTTTGAGACTGAAGCTCGTCTTTGGAAGCAATCCCTCCAACCGACAAAAATGGCTCAGCCTGCTTGTAAAACCACCTCTCAGGCCAAAGCTATGGAAAAAGCCATCTCAGAATCTTCGAAACAACATCCATCAGCCACACCATTGCATTCGGATGCCCCATCAACTTCATCAAAGACCTCTAAAAGCCATAAACCTAAACATTCGATGTCGAAACCCTCAACATCAAAGTCCTCTGCTAAACAGCAACTATCCACTGAAGCCTCTTCAGCTCTGGAACCATCACCGCCTAAAAGGTCCAAACAGGACAAATCTAAATCATCTACAGTCATTCCTCAACAGCCTCCAGAATCTTATGGGTTAATCTCTGTGGGCTCACTCTCTGATGATGATGGACTCCCATCCCATCAACCTTGTTTTCAGTCACCAGAATGGGATGAACAAGTGGATTGTTTGACATCCCAGCCTCCAACACTCTATTCCCTCTAGCAACCTTTCCATAGTTGCTTCGCCCGACAGAGTCGACTCCGAACCACAGCCAAATACTGTGCCCTACTTGGTGGCACCAGACCGACCACCACGACTCCCGGTGTGCCATCTACTGCAGCATTCGTATGAGGCTCAGACCTACATTCAGCACTCTCATTGGGAAGCCATTTGGCCCGATCAGTGCTTGTCTAGACAATCTTAAATCACTGGTCAACCAGTCTACCTGGTTTGATGGCAGTATTGCCTCACATGCCTCGACCTCGACAGCCATTGGTGTCGAAGCGGGCATATTATCAAGACCCACATGGGTTTCTGGCGACTGTAACCAGCATCTAAAAAGCCCAAGATGGTCAAGCTCCATTCTTCAATGCGTGAGGCATTCACAGCTCCAGTCTGTCATTACTTTCCATCTAACCTAGAAGACAGGTTTTTCTCATTTGGCATCCCCAGCATCTATGTACTCCAATGGTCCACCGACTCGGCAACAACCTCAGTTCCATCATCATCGAGACACATGATATCGACAAGCCTCAATATCCATCTTGGTCCATCCATGGACACTCGTCCGGCTCCTGCACCAATGAATGATCCTCACCTAATCCAGCCTGACATCACTATGAGGTCAACTTTGAGGCCGAGGATCAGAGATACAAACCTGTGTCTGTGGACACTCCACTAACATCGTTAGAGGTCAACAATTCTTGACATCGACAGATGTCCATGGACATGCCACCTCCATCGACATAAATATTATGATTCTCAACCTCTTTATACTGAAGTCGATCAACACTCCGTTGATTCTCAACGCGATCCCTCTCTCTTCTTCGCAATCTTGGTCTTTCTGTCAATAAACAAAAGTCAAAATTGAAACCTACAAGAGTTGTCCATTACATAGGCTCACTCATAGACTTTATACAAGCTTGCACATTTCTCCCTGCAGACAGACGGCATAATTTAAGCACTCTGCTTCAAAATTTGACCCCTGCTATGATATCCACCTTAACCATGCAATGTGTTCTAGATACCATGGCATCTATGACATCTGTTGTACAACATTTTGTCTAAAAATGAAATCTCTTCAGTCATGGTTTCTTGCCCTTTTCAACCCACTAACAGACCCTCCCCACGCTCATTTCAGGGTCACCTCAGAACTCACCTCCCAACTTCAATGGTGGCGTTTTCCTCCGAACCTTTCCATCAGATGACCATTCCAACAGGTCATGACCAACACCAGCCTCACATGCTGGGGGGGGGGCACACTGCAAATCCCTCAAAATTCATACCAAATGGTCTCACAGGGAGAGGTCGCTCCACATAAACAAATTAGAATTACTAGCAGTGATAAAGGCATGCAAGGCCTTCAGAAACCTCATCAGCAAAATGATACAGATTGCCACCGACAATACAATGGCTATGTACTACATCCTCAAATAGGGCAGCACCCACTCCCCAAGTCTCCTCTACTTAGCAGTCGACTTCTGGGAGTGGTGCCCAGCACATCATAACTGCCTCACAGCTTTACACATAGCTGGTCACGACAATGACCTGGCAGACCTCCTCAGCCACACAAACTCCCAAGCTCACAAATGAGAATTGGACCGATCAATCTTCCGTCTTCTCTGCAAGCGTTGGGGCGATCCAACTCTCGATCTCTTTGCCTCCTGCATAAATCGGAAGTGCAAATTCAACTGCTCCATGCAGGAGTTGGCAAACACTCCCAAGGAGACGCATTCATCAGCCACTGACCCAAGACACTTACTTACCTCTTTCCACCACTTCCGCTCCTCCACAAAGTAGCGGTCCGTCTGCAGCAAGACAAACCCAATGCCATCGTTATAGCCCCTTGGTGGCCAAGGCAACCCTGGTTCCCAGTCCTCCACAACCTGTCATCAGACATTCACCACTTCCCCCGTCTACCACACCTCCTCACACAGAACAAACCCCAGGTACTCCAACTGGACCTGCCTGCTCTGCATCTGGCAGCAGGGAGGATTCTGCCTCTCTGATGGATGTCCTCTGTTAAGCAAAAAAAAACAAACAAACAAACAAAAAAAAAAACCTTGACCAGGAAAGCTTACCTATGTAAATGGAAAAAAAATTAAATATTTCACTGAAGCCTCTTCATTGTCTTCTGTCAACCCATCTCTCTCCACTGTTCTACATTTTTTACTCCATCTGAAATCTAGAGGTCTCTCCTTTTTCTCCTTAAAGGTTTACCTCTCTGCAGTAGTCTCCTGTCAGCCATCAAATTCTCCAACAACTCATTTTTTCAGGCATGCAACGCTAAAATGATTTCTCAAGGGGTTGTCTCATATGTATACCCAGATGTTTGTCCACTATACCCACAATGATCTCTAACCCTTGTCTTACAGCAGCTCACTAAGGCTCCCTTCGAGCCCTTAGCCTCAACTGATCTCCGACTACTTACTTTCAAAACAGCCTTCCTCGTTGCCATTAAATCCGTTCAGTGAGCCAGTGATTTAGCAGATTTACAACATGACTATCCTTACTTACAATTTTTTCCAGATAAAATCAAATTATCCGTCGATACTTATTTCCTCCCCAAAGTTACATCTTAGTTTCATCTATCCCAACCCTTGGTCCTCTCCTCCTCCTTCCCATCACCATCTTCAGCTCAAGAAAAGATCCTTCACACACTGGATGTTCAGAGAGCCCTTGCCTTTGGGGTTCAACACACCCAACTTTTCAGGTGCTCACCTCGCCTTTTTGTCAGTCACCAACCTCCTACTAAAGGTCTTCAGGTGACTTCTCAGACAATCTCTAGATGGGTTACTTCAACCATTCACCTCACATATCATCTTGTTTGAAAGCCGGTTCCAAAGGTGATTTGCCCTCACTCCACCAGGGCAGTGGCAGCTTCCACAGCATTCATCTGTGGTGTATCTCTTACGGACATCTGCGCTTCTGCCACATGGGCACAGCCGCCCATGTTCATTAGGCACTATAGACTCGATGTTCGGCAAAAGTCTGATGCGGCCTTTGGATGTGCTGTTCTAGCCTCTACCTTAGCATGACATCCTGCCTCCAGGTAAGACAGCTTGCTAGTCACCCAGAGTGTGAGTCACAAAGGCGACGAAGAAGAACGACAGGTTACCCACCTCTAATTGTAGTTCTTCGAGTGGACATCTGTGATTCACACATCCCACCTGACCTCCCCATTGTCACGCCATACAGCTTAAAAATGTGGCTGTTCACACACCTGAAGGGAGAGTCTTGGAGCCAATGTACTTATAGGGAGGGGAGGGCCTTATTCTAATGTGTGTGTGTGGTGTGTTGTTGTTGTTGTTGTTGTTTTTTGCTACCCTATGAGAAAGGCAGCTAGTTATGTTTCTTTGTGGCATCTTTGTGACAGTGGGGCTGTGCATGGCTGAATATCAATAAACAGAAGGTGAATCCCAGCAATATAGAGGTTAGGTGGGTAGGTGGTTTTCCTGTCCATGAACCTATTACAAGCAGGGTGGTCTTCTGAAAAAAAGTTGTACACAGATAAAGGAGACCTCCTTTATCTGTCATTTTTTTCTTGAGGCCCAGGTTGCCTGAGCAGTTTGAAGTTTTGCCAGCATTTTAGCAGGTTCAGTTGATTCACCAACTGCACCTTGAGCAGGGTTAGCCTGACCACAAGAGCCCATTCCCTGCCAATTTCCCACTTGGACTGCTGTAATATGTTGTATATGAGGATGACCCAGAACCTTCAACTTGTGTGGAATATGGCTGCCAGAATTTTAAACAGTACAATCAGGTTGTATTCCATGACACACATTCTGAAGAAACAGAATTGGCTAGCTGTTCACTTCCAAGCTCGACTTAGGTTGTTAGGCTTTCCTTTAAAGCACTATATACAACAAAGAGATCCTTCTCTGCTGTTATATGTCGACTGTGGAATGGCCTAGCTCTAGAAATACATCTGGTATCACATGTTGCTGTACTTGTTACCCTTCAATTTTAGGTGGCGGTGTCTTTTTTATATGATCATAATTATCGCTGTACAGTGGCAGAATATAAAAAATTAATTTACTATTATTAATTAATTCAATAATAGTATATTATGGCAGCAGGCAGTCCTTCACTCTCATACTTCATTGACTTTACACTGGAAGTCAGTGGAGCAACTTCAGAACTTGGGACCTGTGATCCATATAATCCATGCCTGTCTGCAATCCAACCGCTGCATTCTGAAGCAAGTTAAACTTCTGAGAACAAGGCAACTTCACATAGAATACACTGGAGTAGTTAAGGCTAATGTTTCTAGGTTGAGGTTGCCTCTTTCCGTGGTTGTGGGGGTGAGGGAGGCATGGAAAGCCATGAAAGCCGTTTCTCAGATAAACCCATGTGACACGTTTCTTTTGGCAGATACTGGAGAGCAGGTCCTGGTTGATGTGGAATACAAGACTAACAAAGAGATAACTGAACATATTAAGAAAATTCTTGGTAAAAGCGAGTAAGTAAGCACATGTAACAAAGGTGTTGTGCAGCATGTTTTTAGTGTGTAAAATCAAAGAAGGAATCTCACCCCACCTTAATGAACAGTAGCCATGGGACCAGTGGCCATGATCTTAGTTTTTTTGATGTTGAGCTTCAG